TGTGTGTGTGTGTGTGTGTGTGTGTGTGTGTGTGTGTGTGTGTGTGTGAGAGAGAGAGAGAGAGAGAGGGACAGTATTTCCTAATACAAATAAACGTAACAGCCAGTCAACTTTAAACCAAATAGGGGATTATGTTTATATTGTAATTTTTAGTTTCATACCTCTTAAAGTCAATTCTGTTGTGCACATTTGAGGTGTACAGCATAGTGTCGTGGGATTCATGTTGTGAACAGTTTCTACAGTGGAGTCTGTGGATGTAGCCCCTCCTCTCACATGATTAATACCCACCTTTTGGTGACAAAACAGCTTAATGCCCTGGTTCAAGATGGTTCCTTACCGGGCTTTACTGCAGCTCCACCTCCTCCCTTTGACACCTTCTCTCCTCCACCATCCCCCCCTCCCCTCACTGCCCTCATCTTCTCACTCTGTCATGGAAATCACTGTATTTGGGTTTTCTCCCATTTTTTCTTTTTAAAATTACTTTTGTTAATTATTATTGTATGTGCATGTGGAGTGTCTATGTACGTGCGTGCATGTGTATGTGTGTATGCACATAGCATGTGTGTGCAACTCAGAGGACACCTTTTGGGGGTTGTTTCTTGAGATCCACTGTGGGGTCTGGGACTCTAACTCACGCAAAGGTCTGCAGGACAACCCATTTCTACCTGCTGAGCCGTCTCACTGGAACTCTAGGTCTGACTTGTTTCACTTAGCATAACATCCTCCATTTTTAGGTTGTGGCAAATGACAGGACTGTTTCCTTTAAAACAGAGATGAATTGAAGCCACGCCATATATTTCAGTTTCCTTATCCACCCATCTATCAGTATAAAGGAAATTCTCAGAGAGGTCAGGGTTTTAGGGTTGTGCAGTAAATGGTGCATGGTTTTCAACTATAACATGAAATATATATCTAATATGTACCTATATATATGCGTGCCATATGCGGCACAGACAACAGACACACTTGCTGAAGTGCTTTACTCTGATTCTTTTGACAAGTGGAAGGGAACCACTACCCCTTTAGGGAGGAAGGGAAGCAGGACCTAGCACATTTCTGGAATCCAAGGAATGCCCACTGTATGGAAAGCAGAGAGTCACAGTGAGGAAGGACACTGTGCCCCCAACTTGGAAGGAATGTTAGCTCCGTGGTGGAGCTGAAACAATGAAGAATGGATTATGATCTAACTGACTTCGTGTGAGGCTGGAAGCATATTTTAAATAGCCTCTGCCCTCTTTTATTAAATGGCCTTTGTCTAGTGGCAGATGAAGGGCTAATGAAAAGCAACCAGTAACTGTGAGGTATTGGGAAAAGTGAAAACAGGATTAGAAGTGGAGGGTGGTTTTATTGATGTAGTTATTGACTCATTTTCAAGAAGACCTTTGAGAGTGGTTCATAAAATTAACAGAGACCTAGAGTAGTTTTAGTCTAATTATGAGATTCTGTCCTTCCCTGTTTTATTGCCTTCAGTGGATTTACTTATGAGTTGAAAGTGATAAAAAATGAGAACATTTGCGTTCCCTCGAGAGTGTGCCGGCAGAAGGTGGAGCAAGGATAGTACAAGGCGCAGATGAAGAAAGGTGATACATGGAGGGAGGGCAGAGATGCAGCCAAAGGGTCCACGAGGCCAAGAATCTCCCAGTCGCTCCTCATCTTACACTGTAAGATGTCGTGTACATGAACCCCGACACCTGGACACAAGCAAGGACTAAATCTGAAATTTTATTCAAATAGTTTTTAGATTATTTACAGAATGACATAGATATTAGCTAAGAACTTACCTGTATTGTATATACTCTTTTTGAATAGCCACTACTTCCCTGCAGTCTGCAGATCTTGTTTCTAAGCATACACATAAATGTTACTTAGTGGTTTGTTGAAGAATAAAATATATCCATAAAGGTACATGCTCTATTGGGATCTCCTCAATATGTTTTCACATTCTGCACTTATGTTCATGTAACCTCCATGCAGATCAAGAACTAAAACATCACTAAGGGTCAGGGGTGTGGTGGCACACCTTTAATGCCACCACTCAGGGTGCAGACGCAGAGGTCCACCTGCCTCTGCCTCTCTGCCTCTGGTGTCCATTGTGAGTTCTGGGCCAGAGGCAGATGGATCTCTGTGTGTTTGAGTTCTGCCTGGTCTACATTGTCAGTTCTGGGCCAGTCAAGAGTACATAGTGCCCTGTTTCAAAATAAACCAACCAACAAACAAGCAAACAAACGTTCAGTGGTTAAGGGTGCTGGATACTGTTACAGAGGACCCACGTTCAAATTCCAGTACCAACATGACAGCTCACAACCATCTGTTATGACAGTTCTAGGGGATTGTGCCCTCTCTTGCCCTCTGTTGGTACTTCATTCATGTGGTGCATGCGCACATTCAGACCCACAGGTCCACATAGATATATAAAAAAGGACATTCAAAAACAGAACGAAAACAACAAAGGAACATTGCTAAAACCCCATAAGTATACCTTATCCTCCAATCAGTATCTACACTCTCACAAACAAAATATCACCACAAATGTTCTTAATCTTAATGAATCACACTTTTTGGCTTGCCTCTTTATGTATAGATTTTTTTTATGTCTGTAAAAAATTGTTTAAGAGTACTGTAAACTTAAGAGGAATCTCTCTAAATTTACCATTTAGAGCATATATACAACAGTTGCCTTAGCGTCCTTGTTTTTTGACTGTGCTATCTGACCACATGGATTCTGTCTCTACTGACCGATTTTGCTTTATGTCTGAGTAACACCTTTGTGTGTGTGTGTGTTTGTGTGTGTGTGTGTGTGCGTGTGTGTGTATGTCTGTGTGAAGAGTGTTTTTGATTATACACACCTGGCAGTATGCTGAGTCAACTAGAGGTTCTGCATTCTTCTATCTTACCCCAGAGACTGTTAAGTTTTGCTTCAGCGAATGGTTGGTAACTAAGCAGACACCAGAGGGTTCGTTTAACCTTTTAAAAAGGTTAAGTCTGTTTAATTTCCCCATCAGTCTTACAGAGGACTCTTAGTCTTTGGGATATAGTCTTTAGTTTCATAGTATGGGTTCTGAGGCATTTAAAAGGATTATTTGCTGTGTTGACCAAAACTGTTTAGCACAGAGGCCACTGTTCCCGAAAAGAGTACAATTAATAGACTAGTACAGCCTCTTGGAGAGCTTATTTATACTTATATTTGTGCTTGCTGGGCCTTTAGCATTGCCCAGCGCATGCTGCAGAGTTTTAGGAAAATTCATGTGAGGTTTCAAAGTTCTGTCTATCTGTAGTTTTCTCTTCCATGAGTTTTTTTTTTTTTTTAACCTTCAGAAGAAATGCCACATGATGATATCTCTCAGCGTGAATTAGATTTTCTCTGGCTTCTGCTTGCTTTCCATCATTACCACGTGATCTCCATGGCTGTTATTTTCTCTGTTATCTGCGAAAGCAACAGTTTAACATATCTTACTCCATCACTTTCAGACCGAGAAGCAGCCACCTTCATCTTGATGTTTTAATTCTGTGCATATAACTTTAAGTTGGAAATGAGTTCTTTTCAGCAAGTTGTTCTTTACCTTCTGGA